AGACCTAGAAAAGAACTATATATACAGTGTCACTTAAAACAAAATTTCATGAAAATATAATATACTTCTACAAGTTTCAGTGACAAACATCATTGACTTCCAAACAACTGACATTAAAGGAAATTCCAATCCAGACACAAGCAGAGGCTTTCCCCCCATAGACAGCCATGATGATTCTATAGCAATCCTGAATCCACACACATACTTGTACTGTGGATATGTGCTGTAACCCTGGAACAAAACATATTAGCTCTAACACCAGCCCTGGGGTGCACACCTGTGATCCCAGCACCTAGAAGGCTGAGGCAGGAGGATCACTGTGAGTTCAAAGCTGGCCTGGACTGTATAGTGAGACCCTGTCTCAAAAAACAAACAACAAAAGCAAAGACAATAAAACAAACAAAAAACATATCAACTCCAATGCACTGATTACGACATGTTATGACAACCGGATACCTTTCCACACAGTTTTTTTTTTTTCTACATCACAAAGTGCTGAGTTTTTCTGTGATACACAAGTTGGTCATTGTCAATCCAGTGAAATTCTACGGCCTCTAGTTTGAGCAGTATTGTAGGAGTCACAAATCTGACATTTTATGCTTCAAATATGAAACTGCACTGTGGATCATCCGTTGCAGTCATTGCAGAAAATATCCACAGTCACACTCTGACATTCTGATGGCACAGGAGACTGTGCTGCCTCATCATCCAGCTGTTTCCAGTACCAAGTCCCATCTAAGGCACAGCATATGTGCCACGGACACCCGCTGCCTTCTTTCAGCCGTTCTTCGCAACATCTTCTATGTAAAAGATGTCCATAGGGCAAGACACGAGCAACAACATGGGGTGTGAATGTCCTCCAAACATTGTGGACAATTCTGCCGAGAAACATTCTTAATACATTTATGTTTTCCTTGAAGATTCACAGCTAGACATAAGTTATATGTCAAAGAGTGGGAAAAAAAAATCTTGCTTTGGATCAACCCTAAAATCTCCAGTTTTCAGTGATGCTGCCTCTTATCTTGCCAAGCAGAGGGCATACACTGTGGTGATATTCTCGAAGCAATTCTTCCTTCACAAGATTGTTGGGTGCGCGGGAGTTTTTCACAGTTGGCGCACGTGCTTCCTTTACTTTAGGATGATCTAGCTGACGATCCTCATAGCTATCACCACACAGCTGGCGAGTATAAAGCTTGTTAGAGCCAGGTGTGGTGGCACACATCTGTCATCCCAGCACTTGGGAGGCTGAAGCAGGAGGAGCACCAAAGGCCAGCCTGGGCTGCACAGCAATGATAGAGCTCTCTACCAGACAAAACGGCCGCAACGGTCCTACATTCTAAAATGGCATCCATTCCTAGAATACTTCCTGCTCACAGAAACGAACCACTTAGGAAAAGGGAAATGTACCCCCTCTGGAGAAGCAAAACCTAACTTGTTGCTCCAGCCTGCTGTTCACGTGCTCCTCCCCTTCCAACCACCTAGGGTCCCATTGCCCAACTCTCGCGATACTCTCCCCGCTACACCACACTGTATAAACCCACCCCAGTCAGTCTTGCTCTCTCTCACCGGTATTCAAGGGAGCCCTGCCGCTCCTTCCCAGTACAGCCTTGCCTTGGGTGCTCCTGTTTTGGCTTGGTTTTTTTTTTTTTTTTTTCAAGTAACAACAACAATAACAACAACAACAAACAAAACATGCCTCCAAGGGTCCAGGGATGATTCCTAGGGCTCATTGCCCTGGAAACAGCTGATAGGAAGTGAGACGGAAGACACATTGCTCTCTGTAGAGATACTGAAGCGCTCAACTGCAGTAGGGCTGGCAGCGGTTACACATTTAATAAGCAAATTGGCCTCAATTCAAATGCCTCTTATTTCCTACTTCTGCTTCCTATCATTAAAATGGGTTTAGGGCCGGGGATTTAGCTCAGTGTTCCAGTGCCTGCCTCGCAAACCCAAGGACCCGTGTTTGATCCCCTGTACCAGAAAAAAAATAAAAAGGTTTAATCTTTTAGGATGGTTCTTAGAGGTAGCACATTCTAGATAGGGCCGTTGACAGCATCTGGAATACAGAAAGTACTCAATAATTGCTAGCTTTTCAGTATCAATTCATTAATTATCTGTACCATGCGTCAAGACCTGTGCTTGCTTTGAGAGTACAGAGAGGTCCATCATTGTGAGCTGCCTTTGAGGTGTTCCCACAATACTTGGTGGACAGACACACAGAGAGAAGTAGTAGGGGCCTAATCAAGACAAGGATAGTATTAGTCAAGGCTCTCCTGAAACACGGAACCAACAATAGACAGACTGATGATAGATAGATGATAATACATAGAAAGAGATGGTTGTTATAAGGTGCCAGCTCATAGCATCAAGGAGGCTGAGAAATTTAAAAAAATATATATATCATCTGGAGACCAAGAAGAGGAGGGTTTAATTGAAGTGTATTTTTCAGAAGACAGAGGCGCATTTTTCAGAGAGATTCCCTCTGGCTGCTGAGCAGAGACAGCCTGTGGGGTTGGGGTGGAACAAGAAAGAAAATGTCCCCAAGGAAGGGGCTGGAACTTCAGCCCCAAGCAGGGGTGTTGGGTCAACAGGGAGGAAGAGCAGGATGTGGGCAGTGAGGGCAGCCATCACCTCTCTCAAGCTGGCCTTGGTTTCTAGAAATTACCGTGGCAACGCTGAACTCCTGTTCCTTGGAGGAGGGGCTGCCTGAAAGACCGGGATCTCCATGCCAACCACCTGTCTCCATGCACCTGCCCCTAATCACCTCTCTGAGCTCTGCCTTGGGGATGCCAAAGAATGTAGTGTAGAGGGAACTATTAGCAAGGGATACAGAGGGCAGGGGATACCTTCACCAGGAGGAGCTGACTAATGAGGGAGATGGAGGCAGGGCTCCTGAGTGGGGAGGTGCTGGCCAGTGCTGGGGCTCAGAGTGGGGCTGTCTGCATTCCTGCGGGGTGTGTGCAACAAAAGTCATCTCCACCTCCCCAAGACTCTAACTTTGTTTACACTGATTCCTTGCACTTATTCTCATTCTGTCCCCAGATAATTAATGATAGCTTCTTCTTTTCATCTTTGGAGGAAGAAGAAAGGCAAGCATTTTTTTTTTTTTTCCTCTTTTGGGAGAAGGCAGATGAGGCAGTCACCTCGAGCATCCAATTTAAGGGGCCACCAAAGACTTCAGGGAAAAAATAGTATTGAATGTATACTTTCCATTCAAAACATTTATTTTTAAATTATAGATATTTACAGGGTACGGGGTGGCAATTTGATACATATAAGATTATAATTCATTTACAAAACACCACGATGAACAAAATACCAACATTTGACAGGAAAAGGATGCTAAGCGTGCCTTTCCGGACCCAGCATTCCCCCTTCTGCCCTGACTCAGGAGTCTAAGGATGTGCCCTTTTTATGGACCAATGCGTATTTACTCAGTTCACCTTTTTTGGTTGTTTCACGTTTCTAAAACAACTGGTTCTAAACCAAGGAGTTGTTTTATTTATTTTCACAATGCACAGCCACTGTTCACCTACATGACAGCAAGTTTGCTTCTTTTCTTCCTGATGTCCACGAGTAATGGCAGTGACTTTTATTGGGTGTGACTCAGAAGCCATCTTTGCCATCAGCTCTTTCAAACTCACACAGTTCATTCGTTACCTATGCCTCATCGTATTCCAAGTTGCCCACAGAACTACGATTCACAACAGCTGTAGCCAAGAACTTTTGGCCATCGACCTTTCTCTTGTCTGTGACAACCTGTGGGAGGTACCATCTGCTACTCCTCCACAGTTTAGAAGGGAGGCAAAGGATACCCCCAAGAATTGCTAGTTACCTACAGTAGGATGTCAAATTTAACATAACCAAATAATGCAGCTTTAAGCTCCAGAGATTGAACCTGTGGCCTTACACACCAGTCAAGTGTTCTACCTCTGAGCTACAAATCCAACCCCAGGGGTCAGGAATTTTATTTTTTTTCTGGTAAACAATTCAATACAGGTTAAGCATCCCTAAACTACAAAACTTTCTGAGGGCCAGCATCATATCATACATGGAAAATTCCATGTGACTTCATGTAACAGGAGGCAGCCCAAACACAGTTGCATTAAAAATATTGCATGGAGGGTCTGGGATTTAGCTTAGTGGTTCTGCCGCCTGCTTAGCAAGTGCAAGGTCCTGAGCTTGATCCCCATTATCCCCCCAAAAAAAACTGCACGGAGAGCTGGGGATTTAGATCAATGGTTCTTCTGCCTATTTGCAAGTGCAAGGTCCCAAGTTCAATCCCCAGTACAAAAAAAAAAATTGCATGGAGTCTTTCCATGTATATAAACTGTAAGGTATATATAAAGCACAGATGAATTTCATGTTTAGACTTGGCTCATGTTCCTTAAGAAGATATCTCATTATATACATGTACATATTCCAAGACCTGAAAAAAACCCTTTGAAATCTGAATACTTCTGCTTTGAGGGATTTTGAATTATGAATATTCAACTTATATTTAAAAATGAGCCAGGTGTGGTGGCACATGCCTGTAATCCCAGCACTCAGGAGGCTGAGGCAGGAGGATCACTGTGAGTTCGAGACCAGCCTGGGGTACACAATGAGTTCCAGGTCAGTCTCAACTACATAGTCAGACCCTGCCTCTAAGCCCCGCAATATTAATACACCTTTTACACACCCAGAAGCCTGGCATGCTGTTGCTTGCCTAGGAATCTGACACTGGAGGGAGGCGGCACGGACTGAGGCAGGAGGATCGTGAGTTCACAAAACTCTGACTCAAAAATTAAAAGTATAAAAAGGCTGGGGATGCAGGTCAATGGTGGATCACTTGCCTAACATGCTTGAAGCCCTGTGTTATTCAGTTCCCAGTGCTGAAAACGACTTCAACAAAACAAGCAAACAAATCACAGGAACACAACTGCCAGTGTGGATGAGCTCACAAAGCATCTCCCCAGTTCTCTCACCCTGGATGTTTCTTTCCAACCCCGCCTTCTGGGTTGATTTCATTCGTGCTAGCTCAGGTTTGTCTCTTGTCCAAATCTCCTCTTTCTGGAGCAGACTGGCTTTCTGTCCTCATTGCCCCCAAGAAGCATGTGCTTCTGATCTCCAGCTCAATTCAACGAACAGGTTCCACTCTAGCTTTGCAGCTTCAAGGAAGAGATTTCGGCTGACTTCATCTCTTCATAACTCAGTTTCCTCATCTTTAAAATGGAACTAATGATCCTATCTTCCTTGTAAAGTAAAATAACTCATGCGATAAACTAAGATCTACCATAAGTCGTACAGGAAATGCAAATCAAAACCACAGCAAGGCTTGGGTGTAGGTCAGGGATAGAGAATTTTCCCTGGGTGTGTCGGCCCTGGGTTTGATGCCCAGCATGACAGAATTAAATTATATTAAATTGACAATAAAATACTGCTAGGGAGATTATAATCGAAATAACAGTGTTGGCAAGGATGAGGAGGAATCAGAGCACCAACACTGCAGAAGGGGATGCAACAGGAGGCAGTCGCTTTGGAACAACTATGGCAGACCCTCGGTGATGAAACAGAGTTACTGTATGACCCATCAGTTCAATTCCTAGGTACATATATCAAGATACAAAGACATATCCACATAAACACTCATATGTGACATATTTCATGATAGCCAAAGGGCAGCTCGAATGTCCACCAGTTTGGAGTGGATTAACCACCGTAGAGTGGCCCTATCCAATCAATGGAATAGTACGCAGCCATGGGAAGGAAAGAAACATTCACTGACACATGTTACAACATGGATAAAGCTCAACGACATGGTGCTGAAAGAACCCAGACCCTAAAGGACAGATTTCTGTAAAACATCCATAAGACACAAACCCATAGAAATAGACAGTATATTTGTGCTTGCCATGGTTTGGAGAGAAGAGCAGCGATGGTCCTTGAAAGGGTCAGAGTCTCTTTTGCAGGTGATGAAAATGTTCTAAACTGACTGTGCTGAATATTGCATAAAACTTTAAAAGGGTGAGTTATATGACATGTGAATTATATCTCAATAAAGCTTCAAAAAAGACCATAATAAGTAGATGATAAATACTCAAAAGTTAGAGTGACGAGTAGCCTATTAACAAGGAAGAAAGGAAGGAGGCAGAAAAGGGCAGAGGAAGAGACAGACAGAAATGGAGACAGAGAGACAGAGACAGGCAGACACACAGGACACAGTGAGAAAGAAAGAGGAAAGAATGAACTTGTCCCCAACACAATCTTTGTCATAAATCTGACCTCTTCAAGAATTCTGGAGAGAGAGTTTGCTGAGGAAGGTCTTCTCCATAGCCACCTTCAGCTCCTTGTTCCTGAGGCTGAAGATGATGGGGCTGAGGAAGGGTGTGAGGACCGTGTAGGTGGTGCCCATCAAGGTGTCTCCTTCCAGGGACTGAGGGCCCTTGGGCTTGAGGTAGATGACAGAGGCAAAGCCATAGTGCACAACCACCACCATGAGGTGGGACGCACATGTGGAGAAGGCTTTGTGCCGACCCTCAGCTGATGGGATCCTCAAGACGGTAGACACGATGAAGGCGTAGGAGAGGAGGATGAGGAGACAGCAGCCCAGCAGGACTGTGATACACACCAAGCCCACACCCATGACCACCACTGCTACATTCTTGCCACAGGCCAACTTCAACAGGGGTGGCATATGGCAAGCAAAATGGTGAATCTCATTGGGACCACAGAAGGTGAGATGGAAAACTGCCGTTGTCACCACCATCCCCATTACTGATCCACCAATCCAGGACCAGGCCACCAGGCAGGCACAGCCATGGGGGCTCATGAGCGCATTGTAGCGCAGTGGATGACAGATGGCCACGTAGCGGTCATAGCCCATGACAGTGAGCAGGAAGGAGTGGGTGAAGCCAAATGCGAATGAGAAGAACATTTGGCTGCCACACGCAGTAAAGGTGATGGTGTGGTGGGTGGAGAGCAGGTCAGCCAGCATGCGCGGGATGATGGCCAAGGTGTAGAGGATCTCAGAGATGGAGAGGGCACACAGGAAGAGGTACATGGGTGTGTGGAGGCTGCGCTCACGCCAGATGGTGGTCATGATGAGCAGGTTTCCCAGCAGGGCGAACAGGTACATCAGCAGGAACAGCAGGAAGAACATCAGCTGAAGGCGGGGGAAAGCAGAGAAGCCAATGAGGATGAACTCAGCCGTGAAAGTATGGTTTATCCCTAGCATGGCAGCCGCACTGCCTGGAGGAGAGAGAAGTGTCAGTGTATTAAGAAGTCAAGAAGAGGCTCCTTTACCTGTGCCTGGTGTTGTTAGTCCATATACAAAAAGCATTCATACAGTTTTCCCTTAGTATTAACAAGGGTTTAATTCTAGGATGACCCTCAAATAGCAAAATCCATGTAATAATGTGATAAGGTTTAAACAAGATGACAGGTCTTTAGTTTCTGGCATGATATAAGACCTCAATAAATAGTAATACTGAGAATTCTTGTTATTGTTACTATTTTCAATTCTCCATCCTAGGATCTCAGTGTTTCTATTCAACTAGTCCAGGGTTGAGTTTTCACGTCAGAGCTACGTGACATTGGGATTGTTCCTAAATCTTCATAACTCTTAGTTTTCTCTTCACTGAGATGAAATAAAAACACACTGATGGGTGATTTTTGGATTAAATGAAATTGTGTTTATAATGTACCTACTAGAAAGCTAGGAATAAACACTTGGAAAATTGAGGACAAAAATGGGTTGTTTGAAACAGATTATTTTATATTACAGCAACCTAAAGATATATCATTTCATTGGTAAATTTAACCCATGTGCTTTTTTTTGGTAAGTATTACTGTTTTCAGAATCAAGTCTAGAATCTTACTAACCTAGCTATTATAAATAAATAAATATTGGTAATATATACATACGCTTATATATGTATATGTACCTCATGTTAAGTACACACGAACACACACAAACAGATACACAACACCTTTTGACAACACCAAGAAACAAATATTATTAAGAACACGTAACTGCTACCAAAAGGACTTTGTGTCAGGCATGGTGGCTCATGCCTCTAATCCTAGCACTCAGGAGGCTGAGGCAGGAAGATCACCACAAGTTTGCTTTTTTTTTGAGACAGGGTCTTGGTATGTAGTTCAGGCTGGCCTTGAATTCATGGAAATCTTCCTGCCTCAGCCTCCTAAATCTAGGATTAGAGGCCTGTACCATCACACCTGCCTTGCTGTGAGTTTCAGGCTAGCTTAGACTAGGTAGTGGGTTCAAGGCCAGCCTGAACTACATATATAGCAAGATCTTGTCTCAAAAAAAATCCACAAAATAAAAATTGAATAGTAAATAAATAAATGAGAATCAAATGAACTTTGCCTCAGACCATAAAAGATATATATATATAGATATAGATATAGATATAGATATAGATATAGATATATATATATATTCACATTTATTTTAGGGTAAATATAATTGAATCATGTAACACTGCCATAGTCTTCAACATGCTTGGATTGAAGGGGAATTAAGAAATTCTTTGATTTAGAGTTGGGAATGTAGCTCAGTGGTAGAGCACTTGCCAAGCATGTGTGAGGTCCTGGGATCCCTCCCTGGCATAGGAAGAAAAAATGTTATTTTTACACTAACAATAAGTGATAATGAAAAGGTGAAATAATCACAGAATGAAATGGATCATATACCTGAACATAAAAAGAATATTAGTAGAGAACCTGACAGAATTTAAGTAACACAGAGATTACATAAAAATATTGTACCAATGTTAATTTCCTGGTAATTACAGAGGGTTTGTATGTCATGCTACAAAGAAGGGGAGTTAGGTGAAGGAACCACTAGAATCTTTTGTGTTATACCTGCAAGGCTTTTTCTGTAAGTTTGAAATTACCTAAAAATAAACAAAGTAAAATAAATTCAGGTTCTAGTCAAAGGGGCAGCAAAATCAATCAAGCATCTAGGAGTTAATTTAACCCAAAGACTCCCATGGAGATTGATTAAGCCCCTCAAGAAGAGAAAACAGCCAGGCATAGTGGCGTACACCTGTCATCCCTGCACTCAGGAGGTTGAGGCAGGAGGATCGCTGTGAGTTCAACACCAGCCTGGGCTACATAGTGAGTTCCAGGTCAGTCTCAACTATATAGTGAGACCCTGTCTCAAAAAACCAAAAAAATAAAAATAAAGAGAGAAGAGAAAACATGGCAGGTGGTTCAAAGAAATGGATGCAACTGAAACACAATAGAAGGAAGATGTTAATTTTTTCCTGAGGTTAATGTGTAAATTCACTGAGGACCTCTCCAAAAAACCCAGTGGATTTTTTTCCTGGAAGAAAGATGACATACTTATTAGAAAATGCCAATGACAGCATAAAGATCCATGCACCTTAACCTTGAAAATGATGAAGGAAAGGAGCAGGGATGGGGCACCTGTCTTCTCAGTTACTAAAGCCTTGGAGACAAAGAACTGGGGGCCAAGTACAGGGCCAAGACAGAGCAGTAGCTCAGAACGGAGACCTTTGACACAGAGACATGTGTAGTTGGTTAAGGTCACAGAGCAAATCAGTAGCAAAGGAGGGAATGTGTAGGGGATGCTGCTGGGGAAAGTATATTTCTATGGTGATACAAAAAAACAAAAAAACCGGAGTCCCCATGATACCACATTCAAAGAGAGAATCAAGATGGTCTAAGGAACCAGCTGTGGAAGATAAAAACAGTTAACAAAAGAAATATAGGATGTGGAGGGGTTGAAGGGAAGGCAAGGGAATGGGGAAAAAATAAGAACTAAGATGGATTGTGTAATGGTGCAAATTTTCAATGATGAATGTCATTGTATTGTATACCTTAAATGTACCAATAAAATTAATAAAAGAAGAAATATAGGATGATCTTGTGATTGAAGAATGGGAAGTTAAATCTTCAAAAGCAAAACAAAACACTGCTGCCTGCCTCCCAAGCACAAGAACCTGAGTTCGATCTCTGGTACAAAAAAAAAAAAAAAAGAAAAAAAAAAGCAAAACAAAACATTAAAAAATAAAAGCACAGAGCCGGGCATGGTGGTGCACACCTCCAGCACTCGGGAGGCTGAGGCAGGAGGATCACTGTGAGTGCGAGACCAGCCTGGGCTGCATAGTGAGCTCCAGGTCAGACTCAACTACATAGTGAGACCCCGTCTCAAAAAAAAAAAAAAAAAAAAAAAAAAACACAAACCAAAACAAACTTAAAATGATGAATTCCATTAAGTCAGCATCATGGATAAAGTCATAGGTGACAGGCTGCAAGATATCTGCAATACCCAAAATAGACAGGAGACAAATGCCTAGAATCTACAAGGAACACTTGCAAATCAACAAGAAAAAAAGACTAGTATCAGCCTGGTGTGGTGGAACATGGAAGGCTGAGGCAGGAGGATGGTTGAGAATTTGAGACCAGCCACGGCTACATCGTGAATTCAAGGCCAGCCTGAACTACATAGTGAGATCTTGTCTCCAAACAAACAAAAAAACACCACCAACACAAAAAAATCAAAACCAAAAATACAACCCCCCCAAAAAGACAAAATATTTTTTAAAAATATATAAAAAGCCCAGCATCAAGGCAGAAAATGCACAAAGGGTAAACACAGACACCCTGCAGAAGAGACCCAGTAGGCTAATGACAAATTAAAACTTGCTGAAGCTCACTAGCAATTACAGAAATACAACATAAAATAGTACAGAAAGAGGGGCAACCTACTCTCTGGTCCCCCTTCTGTCTCTCTTAGACAGAAGCTTTCTTTCCCTCAATAAATTTTTCCTACTCATAACCTCCATTGTTCCTAGAATTCATTCTTCGATTTTAGAGAACAAGAACTTGCATTTCAGATATCTAGCAGGTTTGGGAGATATAAATCTTCCCCCTATATCATTTTGGAGGTCTTCCACTGAGCTTACTGGTTGGAGTATTTAATTCAAGGCACTTCCTTCCTCTGTAGCTACTGGATTTCAAGACAAAGTTCCCAGAGGGTGGAGACTAAAACTAGAAAGGTAACTGGGCTATGAGGACAGCCCATATTTTGGCCCTGGCCTCTCAACAAGAATCCAGGACATGAGGGAATCTTTTCTACAGAATTCTACATCTTTGACTTAAAAGCTATGCAGCTACCAAGATAACAATGCCTAGTGCCTACCGAAGGCCTTTAGATAGACCCTCTGTAGAGTAACTCTAACTGCTGATCATAACTACGACCCACTTCAACTGGAAGTAGCTAGAGATGTCTTCACCCTTTGCCCACTCACAGCAGTTAGGGGTGCTTCTTCAGAGGGGGGAACACTGCAGACAGGTAAGTTAATTAGATATCTTGTAGGCAGGTAGACAGGGCTGCTGGAGGACAATCAAGACACTTTCACTGAAGTCCAGAATTGTAAAAGGAGAAAAACTATTATACCCTTGTGCTTCTCCTAGGGATTAATAGCAGTGATTGATATTCTAAATAGGTGTCAGTCACCTGGGTGGGGAACCAAGGTTTTAACCCAGCCTTTCCAGGAGATATCCCTGACCTCCACCTTTACTGAAAATCGTTGTACACTTGCTGCATGACTTGCTTCCCCACTTGACCCCCATTTAATCAATATTCCCTGGGTGACTGTACTTGTAATCGTATTGGTTGGTCATGGTTTTGCCCCACCTCATGCCCACCTTGTAATCTTCCTCTGGGTCTTATAGTTTTGTCCCACTTTGTACCAGCCTCATCATGTGGCTTGGCTGTAAAAACATCTTTGAGAAGTGGCGTGAGTGAGCAACCCACTTTCCGGTCCCCTTTCTCTCTTATTTTATTTTTTGAGACAGGGTCTCACTATGTAGTTGAGAATGACATGGAACTCACTCTGTAGCCCAGGCTGCTCTTGAACTCACAGCGATCCTCCTGCCTCGGCCTCCCGAGTGCTGGGATTACAGGCGGTCACCACCATGCCCAGCTTTTCTGTCTCTTTTAGACAGAAGTTTTTTTCCCTTAATAAATTTTTCCTACTCTTAAAAAGATAATACAGCAAGAAAAAGAAAAGAATGGAATAAACAATAAAGTAGTATCACTTTCAGGGGCCGGGGATTTAGCTCAGCAGTTTGGTGACCTGCCTTGCAAGCGCAAGGACCTGAGTTCAATCCTCGGTACCAAAAAAAAAGTACTGTCACCTTCCAACTGTTACAGGAAGAACATTTACTGCTACATTTTGGTTCAAAGGAAAGACTATGGCAATTTATGATATATTTCAAAATGACTAGGAGAGACAGGAAGTTGACAAATATGGAAATGATAAATGCTTAAGAAGAAGAAAATGCTAAGTTGTTCATTGCACATTATATATATGAATTGAATTACTGGCCTATTCCCTGCAGATATTTACAAATATTCTGTCAATTAAAAGACAAAGGCAGGGATAGGGATTTAGCTCAGTGGTGCCACCACGTGCCTCACAAACTCAGGGTCCTGAGTTCAATCCTTGGCACCAATAAAAAAAAAATAATAATTAAAAAGAAAAAGCAAAGGCAGATGTGCCACAGACATTTTAGCAGGTGCCTGGCAATTCAAGGCCAAATTAAGAAAACATCTCCCCCGAGTCTCAAAAGTTTACCTCCCAGATCTCCATCTAAA